CATAAAGTGGGGAGTGAGGATCAAGCCCCTGTAATTTTGAATTAACTATTCATTCAAACATGAAAGAACATTTGAATTTATGAGTCAGGTGAAGTGACAAACCAACACAGTCAAACCCTACGCCGACCTGGCCCGATCGGGCCATCTTTCGTAGATTTCTCCACTTATCCTAAATGTTCAAACAAAACATAAATATTAACCTATTTTGCAATTATAAATATGAATAAATATAAGATGAGCAAAGAAATGTGCGAAATACAACAAACTATTATGGAGGGAACGAGGAAAGAGAAAATCTAAGAATGCATGTGCATTAGTGTGGAACATATCACCAGTTTACTAAACTTTAAGATACACTGATAATCGTAAGGCAATAGGGTGCAATATAACACCAATTTACTATACCTTAAGATACATTACGATGGACCACATTTTATTTGGTCGATTCATGTTGACAATGGTAGATGAAAAATTGTCGGGCCACACGTTGGTCCCATCAACCGCACACGCGAGGAAGCTAATCCGAAGGTTGAACCATTTGGGCATATATCTTTAGATTCTCTTAGCAGCTCAAACTGCTCCTTTTCGTGACCCATCTATTATAGAGCTAGGAGCCGGGCCCGGCCAGGCCTGTCAAAGCCCAACATGCAAAGTCTAGGCTTGAGCCCGGCCCGGCCAAAAAATCGCATATTTAAGCCTGAGCCCGGCCCGAGGAGACACAGTGGAGCAATTTTGAGTCGGGCCGGGTCAAGCCTCCATGTAAACTGCCTGCTTCCCTAGGCCCAAGCCCAGCCCGACATACGCAACGTGCTGCATTTTCAGGCCCGATCCTAGCCCGAAGACAAAGCCCGACCCAACCCGGGAGAGGTTTTTCAGGCCGGGTTGCCCATGCCCAGGTTTAATCCATTAACCTGTAGAGCGGTATTCTACCATGCATGGGAGGTACCGTGCATGACTTGGCTTTTGATGCATTTTGTGAGGATCAGTGTCACCTTTCCCACTAAGATTATTCATACTATTTATGTTATTTTTATACTCTTAGATACATGTTGTGTATGGTACAGAGTTGTGCGTTGTCCTAGAAGTTGTACAACACATTTATCCATCTATTCTCTCCTTTAAAAACCACAAGCATTAAAAATCTTATTCTATGTTCATATCTATTGAACATAAAGTGGGATTTATGATCTGCTTGCACATTTGTGTTCATGGTAATGAGACTTTATAAGGGCTCCTCCTCCTTCCCCTCCTCCTCCTCCAAGAAAGAAAGTTAGGGTTTGTACCTCTCGCCGGCGCCGGCGCAGGTCCGCCTCGTCTGCGGTGGCCCTAGGGCCATGGAGGCGCGGTGGATTCTGGCAAGGGCCGGCGGGAGGGCTCCGTTTAGTCGTTCTTTTCAATCTTGTTAGGGTTTGTGTCCTACTCAGGAAGGCGAGACGGCGGCGGCTCTCTTAAGATGGAATAAAGGTCTCCCCGCCTAGGCCCCGTTCCGGCGGTGCGTCTAGCATCATTGGTGGGTGTGTAGAGGTGTGTCTCCGGCAGATCTATCTTTGGTGGATTTGCTCGGATCTCGTCGTTGTTCGTCTACGTTCGTGTGTCTTCGGTTTGGATCCTTCCGATCTACGTTATTTTTCATCGGCGGCGGTTGCTGTTCTGGGGTGCTGGTCCTATGAGGCCTTAGCATGACGACTTCCCGACTGTCTACTACAACAAGTTGTGCCCGGCTCCGTCGATGGAGGGGCGATGACGGCGGCGCGCCTTCGGCTCGCTTCGGTGCTTGTAGTCGTCGCTAGGTGGTCTATGTAATTTTTATTTCTGGTATTCGTTGTACTGCCATGATTGAAGATGAATAGATTGAAAGTTTTACCGCAAAAAAAAATACTTTACAACAAGCTCAATATTGAATATATTTTGACGGATTTACAGATTTTAATTGAAACATGGCAAAACTCTATAAAACATATTGCTGAACTATAGAACACGAACCTAATAAAACTTTATAAGGGTCAATGTTTAATAAAATCGTGATATTAAGCTTGAAGCGTGTCGATGCATAATGGAACATCATGATATGCTCTCAAACATGATAAACCACTACAATAGAACATTTCAAAAGATCTGAATATATATTTTATTTATTCAACATGTTTGAAGTGTAGTGGAAACAACAACTCACGATAGAACTTGACGAATCAAGAAGAAAGTAGAACATCGTAACCACTAACCACTATCAAGGCAGGCAACTCAACACACACTAACCCTGCATATGTATGATCACAGTAGACACACGAGCTCATACATACGCACACACATGCTAACCATTATCAACGTAGGCAACACACCCTACCCCTATAAGCATCTTCGAGAGACTGGGCCAACACAACATTTTAAGATTGACGAAGTCCCTACAAATGCTTTTATAGTCAACGGGGAAGTCTCATCCCACTAAACGCACATGATCGAAAGGCTTGAAGTAAAACCAAAAAAATGTGAGCAGCAAAGCGTTTAGAAGTTCTACCCCGATGAAATGGGATACCGCCGTCCTTCTAACCATCCAACTACAATTAGAAAAAAAAGCATTCAACTAGATGTTGGTTCGCACATCTACAGAGATTTGGTCATGTTCGTTTGGTGAGAGCATCTTCAACAGGCGCCCAAAAAAAGCCTCACGCGCTAAAAACCATCGTTTTTGTGCGCTGGAGACAAAAAAACAGAGTTCCAGCAGACACTGTAAAATAGAACACACATCGAAAAAACTTTATCGCATAGATGTGCTCGTAGGCTGCTAGGTTGCAAATTTGGGACACCGAACTGTGCGCGCCGGCTGCTGTAGGTGGGGCCGCCGAATTAAACGCCATGTTTTTTGCATCTTGAAGTTTTTTTCATCGCTTGCGCGCGTAAAAAAACTAGTTTGACGCTGTAAAGATATTATGCACCGTCGAGGCGGTTGGAGATGCACTAAAAAGTGGTCAGCGTGCGACACTAGTGCTACATGACTGATTTTTTTGGGAAAAACTTTCAATCTATTCATCTTCAATCATGGCAGTACAATGAATACCAGAAATAAAAATTATATCCAGAATCATAGACCACCTAGCGACGACTACAAGCACCGAAGCGAGCCGAAGGCGCGCCGCCGTCATCGCCCCTCCATCGCCGGAGCCGGGCACAACTTGTTGTAGTAGACAGTCGGAAAGTCGTCGTGCTAAGGCCCCATAGGACCAGCACCCCAGAACAGCAACCGTCGCCGATAAAAAATAACGTAGATCGAAAGGATCCAAGCCAAAGGCACACGAACGTAGACAAACAACAACGAGATCCGAGCAAATCCACCAAAGATAGATCTGCCGGAGACACACCTCCACACGCCCACCAACGATGCTAGACGCACCGCCGGAACGGGGGCTAGGCGGGGAGACCTTTATTCCATCTTCAGGGAGCCGCCGCCGTCTCGCCTTCCTGAGTAGGACACAAACTCTAACAAGATTGAAAAAACGACTAAAAACGAAGCCCTCCCGCCGGCCCTTGCCAGGATCCACCGGGCCTCCATGGCCTTAGGGCCACCGGAGACGAGGCGGACCTGCGCCGGCGCCGGCGAGAGGCACGAACCCTAACTTTCTTTCTTGGAGGAGGCGGCGGCGGCGGCCAGATATAGTGCTACATGACTGATTGATGTGACAGTGACATAGTAGCTTGTAAATTACCCAGTTGGGTCCCGCCGAACTTTGCACTGCCGCGTGTCCGCTCGTTAACCCGTTTTTAGTAGAGGTAGCATTGCTCTAAAAGAGGGTAGAGATCAGGAGTTGAGTCGAGATGAGTAAACAAATGGAGAGCAGATACCAGTTTTCAACTTAAGCATCGCCACCTTCCCCCCGCTCCAATGTCGACTCAGCGGCCTGACAATCCCGCGTACACCAGCGGCCGCCGCGTGCGCAGCCACGCGTCCCTCCACCTGTTGCCCCTCACCTGTCGACGTCCCCTGCGGCCTGCGTATATACACCTCGGCAGCTCGGCTCGACACGACACAGCATCTCCCAGTTCCTCCAATCCACTCCCCGCACGACACCCCGCTCGTTCCCCAAACTACAAGCAGCAAGCAAAGCATCCTCTCGTCGTCTCGTCATGATGAGCGGCGGCGTCAGCGGCATGGAGACGTCCTCCTCCTCCTCGGGGAGCTCCTCTGGTGCGGCTGCGGGGGTGGGGGTGGCGCCGTTCGTGGCCAAGACGTATGGGATGGTGGACGACCGGGCCACCGACGCCGTCGTCGCGTGGGGGAGCGCCGGCAACAGCTTCGTCGTGGCCGACCCCTTCGCCTTCTCGCAGGCGCTGCTGCCCGCGCACTTCAAGCACGCCAACTTCTCCAGCTTCGTCCGGCAGCTCAACACCTACGGCTTCCGCAAGGTGGACCCGGACCGCTGGGAGTTCGCGCACGCCTGCTTCCTCCGCGGCCAGACGCATCTCCTGCCCCGCATCGTCCGGCGCCAGAGCGGCGGCACCGGAGGCAAGCGCGCCAAGGACAACGACGAGGATGGAGACGGAAGCAGCACGATGTTAGCCATGGAGGTGGTGCGGCTGAGGCGGGAGCAGAGGGCCGCCGAGGAGCGCGTGGCGGCGATGTGGCGCCGGGTGCAGGAGACGGAGCGCCGGCCCAAGCAGATGCTCGCCTTCCTCCTCAAGGTCGTCGGAGACCCCGACGTGCTGCGCCGCCTCGCCGGCAGCGCCCAGGAGGAGGGCGCGCGGGTCAACAGGCCGCGGCTGCTTCTCGACGGCAGCAGGGAAGAAGAGAGGATGCCCGTCGACGGGCTGTCGTACCGCAATCACAGCAATCTGAACATGGAGGAGGCCTTTGTGCTGGAGCCGAGCGTGGACTTGTACTACGCCGGAGGCGACGGGCAGGCGGACGGCGGCGGCGGCGGACATCCGCCGTACGCGGAGTTCCACGTCGACAGCGGCTACTGACTGCGTGCGTGCGCGCTGTCTGTCCGTTGGCTCGGCATCTGTATTTTGTGGCTCTGTAGAGAATTAGACACGTGCAGATAGATTGGATGCTAGTACCAGTCAGTGAGGTGTGCCACTAACTGACTGACTTGTGTGGCATTTGGCTGTACAGACGTGGTCGCTTATACGAGGTAATTGCAATTCAGTTCACTCTATTTTTGTATGTTTGCTATTTCTTGCCCGTTGAGCTTTCCGGGAGTCCGGACAGAAGAAACGTCACTAGAATCACCGTTTCTGTGTCAAAATTCCCCACTTCTCTTTTTCCATTCCCCGCCACTCTTGGCCCACCCTTTTCTTCCTTCCGCCGCCGACGCATGGAGCCGTTGGAGAACCTATTAGAGATGGAGCCGGTGGAGGTGCCGGAAGATCCGAGCATAACGCTCGCCTGGAAGATCAGCTCTGCGACACGGCAAACTCGCCACATCAAAGCGAAGGTCGCAAAGGAGAAGAAGCTCAAGAAGAGGTTGACCGCCGATGGGCCTGATCATGGCAATGGGCGTCGAGGTCGTGGCGGACGAGGCGGTCTGCCCGGTCGTGGCGGACGCAGCTGGACGGGTCGAGGTCGTGGCGGACGCAGCTGGACGGGCGCGCCTACAGTACAGACGGCCCTGTGGCCGGAGCCTTACGAGCATCCATACTACGCCGACAAGCAGCTCGAAACCCCAGCCGGTATGGTGCCTTATATTGTCGACGTTAACGCGGCGCCGCTCTTCTCCGAGTATTCTTTGCCGCAGCTCGTTCGGGGGCGGTCGAGAGCACATAAGTGCCCGCACTCTGTTCGCTGCAATGCCTAGAGCGGGGGAGCCGGCATACGACGCAGGCAGGAAGTTGTTTAGAGATTGCCTTCATGTTCTCAGAGTTTACTAATAAAGTGTGTGCGTTTGCTTGCTGGCTGTAGATCGTCGCACCTGCAGTACTCATGATGGATGTCCAGGACCTGTTTGCAAGGCACAAGCCAAGTGTCAGCGTGGAGGACCTAGAGGCAGTACAAAAGGTTCAGTGCAGAGTTTGGCAACCAGGGCTGGTCATGAAGATACACAGAGAGAGTACTCCACTGGTACTGAAGAAATACTGCATGATATGGTTGGTTGTTGTTCCTTGGAAGAAGTAGGATTCACCGCTGATAATACCTGTAAACAAACAAATCCACCGACGAGAAATGCTTCATATGCTTTTTCTCTTTTTGTTCGCTCGATTCAGACTTACTGTATCTTGAGTGGCTTTCAAGTATTTTTCAGTTATATTGAAGCTATTTTGAAATAGTGAATGCTTGCATGATTTGTGTTCTTTTATGAAGGGGTGTCTGTGCTTTTGCATAAATGTATAAGCATATAAGTGCAATATAAGGGCTAATTAGAAGTATATACGGTAAGTTATCTACTCTCTGCATGACCTGGATAAAGGATATATAATTAGCTTTTGGCTTTAGAACACTTCATCAGTTAGTATCTATGCGAAAGATGAATTAGCGTGTCCTGAAAGAAGATTCAAATCCACTCAGTTAGAGGTCGATTTATCGCCTTGGCCAATCCTTCTGTCTTTCTATGTTGCGGAATAGGAATGCCATATGTTCATTTATTTCCTATGTGCCATTTTAAATTCTACACCTTACTTTTTATTATGATGAATCATGAATATCATACATTTGTTACTCTTCCTGATTATCCATATTGTTTTCGGGCACAGATTTAGAATGATTTTTTCATGTTCTTGCAAAGCAAAGGTGTTAAAAAAACTATAGCTATTTTACTACTTTTAGATGCTACAACTGGCGATACTAAATTTCAAAGATATATTCAGGAAACTAAACAAGTTGTTGAGGAAACTGCTGCTACAGCTGTTGAAGATGCAAATAATGTTCTGTGTGACCAAGCTAAACACATAAGGTATAGACTCGTACTCTATTACATTTAACCAGTTTCATATAAGATGTGTGTCTGTGTGTGTGCTACTGAACTTGGTGCGACAACTATTGTTTGTACAACGGAAAGAATGCTTCTTCTTTTCCTTCACTAATGCATGCTATTTGACCAGTCTTTCTTTTTTTATCACTGATGCGTGCAAGTTGATTAACTATATAATAAAACGAACTTCTACTTTCAGGTCCAGTAGGTGTTCTGTTTGCTGTTCATTAATTCTCTGGTTTGTTTGTTGTTACATGTACAAGCAATGCTTACTGCTCCTTACTGATCATACAAGATAAATAGCCTTTTCTGTTTTCATTGATACGTACAAGCTAATTAACCATCCAATAAAATGAGTTGTGTTTTCAGATTCAGTAGGTCTTCTGTTTGTTTATGTTGTCCTCTATTTGCTGTTGCGAACCCTTATGTCCTTGTTCTTTTTATTCCATTGTATGCATCTAGATAGTTTGCACTGAAAATCAAAGTACTCACATGACTGTTACTTTTGCTAATGAATGCATCTTAGGATTAATACTGGTGCCAAGGCCGCCAGCTCTGCAAAGAAAGCAAGGCAGTAGCTCTTCCATGCCCTAGGTTGGGTGTGTACATACAGTATGGCCATCACTACCTGAGTTCCATTCTTCGTACAATCACAATAGATCAGGTGTCAAAACAAACTAATTATAGTCCATCTTCCTTCATCAGGGTATTTTTCTGTGTTCCACTTGCTTCTCAAGCTCGGTCTGCCGCTAGGAGGTTGTGTTGCTGAAGGGGGCTTCTTCACTATATCGCATCGCAGCAGTGGTCTGGCCATCGGGTCTCAAGATCGTACCTTGGCACACTTTTGGACATGCACCTCATGTATTTTGTGCATGTTTGCAAGGCAAGACTTTGACACTCGAAGAACTATGTCAAGCCAATGTCAATACAAATCCCCTTATTTACGTCCCTGAACAAATGGACTTTTATGCGATGTAAATATCACCGTTGGCCCAGCGGGCGATGACCCTACTTGATATTCATCGCTGCGTATCTTACTCACGTAAGCTAAATGACCAAAGCTTTCTATATGATGGACCTCTGCCTAGGTAGCTTTGCTTCGTAAAAGCAATGTAAATAAGCTATCATGAACTGATCTCATACCTTTCGTATATGCTATGTATGAACTTCATATCTAAATATCTATTTGGTTGTAGTTTAATCGGTGTCTAAATATTCTGACGTGCATGGTTATGCTTGGTTTGCTAACCGACAGTAAGTACTCACTATTTTGATATGTGTCTGAGTTTTCCTATCACCACTCTTACAATACTTGGCTTGCTCTCGGCTTTTGCGCCATTGGCGCAACGGGTCATCTAGTATGGAGAAAGCACGGCCAAGAATGCTTACAGAAATATTTTCTCCGAGTGAAAGCTTGCTTCTGCCTCCTCGGTTGCCCATCATCTGCTTGCTATTTTGCGTGTCAGGATCCACAGGGAGAGGGTGAACAAGTGGGAGGAGGAGATCCGGGAGCTGGGCGCCCGTGACGCCGCAAACGAGCGGACCCACGACATCCGCCATAGCGCCCAGCTGCAGCTCTTCCACATCCGCCAGTAGTCAGTCAGCAGAGTTCAACTACCCGTGCGAGAGCGTCGATTTGGTGCCCTGGCTCAAATGATCCCGGGCATGAACAGTACCGTGATTTAAAATAGATAAAAGGTTTAAAATATTCCAATTTTTTTTATGTGGTGCAAGATGCTCGTGTGCGTGAACTCCGTGGAGCTCGTGGCAAATAAAAGACAAAATTCGGATGTTTGAGGAACTTTTGAAAATAGCACTGTTCACGTCTGATTTTGTCTTTTTTGCCACGAGCTCCTCGAATATCCAAACTTCACAAAATTTTGCACGGAGTTCGCGCACAGGAGCATCTTGCACCACAAAAAAAAAATTGCAATTGTTTGAACTTTCTTTCTAATCTAAATCAAGGTACTGTTCACAGGCTCATCTTAGCCTGTGCTCCGGGTTGAATTATCGTTCCGTGCTCTCATCTCATCTGCTTACATCAGCTACCTCTTCCACCACATCTTTCTTCATATGCTTTCTACACCTTTCTGAACTGATGAGCACAGCAGCATTAACAAGTGAAGTCCAGCTTATACTGTATGATCTCATGAATCTTCCACCACTGAATCATCTGAACATGAGTGCCTTGCACTTTTTTTGAATGTTATTACCCAAAAAGCTTTCGCCCCGCTTTATATATAAAGCAACAACCCACAAGCATCCAGTACAACCACACGCTACGCCACCGCAACACACGCACACACCCAGGACGGGATACAAAGACGCTGAGCGCATCAACACTACTCCTAGCATTACCGCCCCGAAGATATGAAGCTACATATGACGAACCATGCGCTTCAAGGCGGCGCCTTCAGGAAGGAAACGACACCGGAGCGCCGCCACCGCCCGATCCAAGGATTAAAGTTTCCCCCGGAGCCGCATGACGGGCAATGAGAGCCGCGACGACGCCTTCAAGAAGGGAGCAATCATCGCCGCCGCCGGTCCGTCCGAAGATAGAGCAGGTTTTCACCTCGGCCAACATTCACCGCCACCGAACGCCACACCCCGGCAACCACGCCGCCCACACGGCCATGATGAGCGGGCAGCACCAAGGCGCGGGCTTTGTCCAAGAGCACCGCGCCACCACCACCACCAGGGCCGCCGCCCTAGCATCCAAGACCTCGACACCACCTCACCCGTGACCCGGCGCACCCCAATGAAAGAGACGAGCGGAAAGGTCCCACCTTTCGCGCCCCTGGGCAACCCCCAGCGTCGAGACCCAATAGGTCGGCCAGAACCGGCATCCACCGACCCATCCTGCTACCCCAAGCGCGAGAGGAGCTCGGTCCTGCAGCATCGTGCGCGAGACGAGCTCGGTCCTGCTGCATCGGGCGCGAGACGAGCCCGGTCCTGCTGCATCGTGCGCGAGACGAGCTCGGTCCTGCTGCATCGTGCGCGAGACAAGCTCTGTCCTGCGGCATCGTGCGCGAGACGAGCGGTGGATCGCAGCTGGGA